TTTCTATACTTTTATAATGTGAACCAAATTTCTTACAATTTAAGCCCAACCCGAACCCTCTAGGCCAATTCGTTGTCGAAATACAGCCAATCAAACATCGGCTATTTTTTTGAAAAACTAAAAATGTATGAGTACGGTTCACATTCCAAAGCTCGTATCGCCTAAAATAATGAATCTAGAGAAAAATCATTAAATGAGGTTGTAGAGAATTTATTCAGCTTTAATTTGATGTAAGAATGAGGCCGCTAGGTGTCGTATTTTGCTCCATAACGAAAAAATTGTGTGAATGAGCTAGAACCATATCCGTTGTCCTTGTTCACTCAAGAAGGAATGCGCAAGGGTACTAAATCTTCCTTCTATTCAGCATTTACACCGGTCGCTAAAAACGTTATCCCAGGAAACAAGGTTCACAGTGGTCGATGGTGGTTACCTCCTGCACAAGGTAGTCTGGCATGGAAATCATTCAGTCAGAGATATTGTGGCTGGATACGTCAACTACGTTTTAAACAACTTTGGTAAAAATGTTGCAGTGGTTTTTAATGGATACCCAGAAGATGCGGCTATGAAAAACACTAAATCAGCTGAACGTCTGCGGCAATCTGCTTCTCTTTCCTGTGGTGACATTTTGTTTGATGAAGCGACACTCATCAAAGTGCCTCAAGCAAAAGTGCTCCCAAATGAATCGAACAAACGCCGACTGATCATCATGATGTGTACCGAATTTGAGAGACAGGGTATCGAGGTACATCAATCACCAGAAGACGCCAATGCTGAAATAGTGCGAACTGCCCTCTCCAAGAGCTCATCGTAAGACCAAGTTTTTATCATGGGGGAGGACGTTGATTTACTGGTTCTCCTAAATGGCTTGAGCTGTGGACAAACAAACGTCTACTTCCAGAAAGGCGGTAGAAGTAGATCTGAGTGCGCTCAGTATGAGGCAAATTCTTTCTTAAGTGGAAAAATGCAGCTTTCAGGAGAGATGGTTTTGTTTCTGCATGCAATCAGTGGGTGTGACACCACTTCTGCTCTTTTCTGACAAGGCAAAATGAAGTGGTGCGAATGTCTACAAAAAATTCCCACTGGATAGACCTCGCCACCATTTTCTTTGATCCAAACTCGACGCAGGAAGAAGTAGGAAATGCTGGCGAGAAGATTTTGTTGAACCTCTATGGGGAATCAGGCCACGCTGAACAGCATGCACTTGGCATTCGTAAAATCGGCAGGAATGCCCAAAATAAACCTTGCCCGCCTCCCCCAACTACAGAAGGTGCCAAACATCATTTTTGGAGAACCTACCACCAGGTCCAAAAATGGTTGGGGGTCGAGAAAAATCCATCCGACTGAAGATGGACCACCAGTCAACAGGGTCTTATGCCAATAACTATGCGTGCCCCTCAAAACCTGCTTAAGATGGTTGCTTGCAGATGCAAGAAAGGCTGCATAGGATCCTGCACTTGCAGAAAAGCAGGACTGAAGTGCTCCATCCTCTGTTCCTTTTAGCCAAGGGCGCAGCTGCAGCAACGTTACTCCCATCATCTTGGATGAGGAGGACGAGGAATTGGACGATTTAACATATGAGGACCCACCTCCATCGTCAGAGAATGTCCTTCCTCCTCCTCCTCCTCCCTCTCCGACTGATCCGGAATGGATGGGGGCTAAATAAAGTAGGGCTTTTGTATTATATTTTTTAGTTTATACATATTATATTTATGTTGTTTATTTTTAATTACGTTTAATAAAATATGTTTTCATGATACCCCCTAAACTTCGATGTTTTACTATATTTTAGTTTTTGAGCAAAATACGACTAGCGGCCTCATTCTTACATCAAATTAAAGCTGAATAAATTCTCTACAACTCTATTTCTCATGACTTTTCTCTAGAGCCATTAATTTAGCCCATACGTGCTTTGGAATGTAACCGTACTTATAAATTTTTAGTTTTTCAAAAAAATTGCCGATATTTGATTGGCTGTATTTGAACAACGAATTAGCCTAGAGGGTTCGGGTTGGGCTTAAATTGTAGGAAATTTAGTTGACTTTATAAAAGTATAGAACAATTAAATTTGAAAAATGCTTTCTTAACATAGTTTTTTCAAAAAAACTGAAATAAGTACCAAAATTTTTTTTTTTTGAGTATCACGGGAGTAGCATAGGGTTTTGAGGGTTGCAAAATTGGGTATAACTTAGTCTCATCGGTCCTTAAGTACAATATATAAAAAAAAATCGTAGATACAGTCCCGTTTGCGATGTGGGATGTCTTAAATGACATCATCGCCTATTTATACTTTTTCAAATTTCTATACAGAAAGAAACCATGAAAATATAGTCGAATTTTTAAAAAATAATAAAAATGTTTAAAGTCCTAAAAATTAAAACGCGTTTCTATATGCAAGCGTAACTATAGCAATTCATCCTGGGGGCCAAGGGTTAAACACAGGGGGGGGAGGGCTAGGACATTTTTTAATGAAGGATAATAATATTAAAAAATAAAGACAATTTTTGAATACATTTTTTTCAATAAATTTGAAAGACTTATTGGTTATAATACCTACAATTACAAAAAAAATAAAACGTAACACACATTTTTTAAACCAAACAAAATTATATTATCTACGTAAAACTATAGAAAATTAATTTATCCAAGAGTCATATTACAGTTGAGGGTTGGAACCTTTGCTGTTACACAGCAAAATAAAAACACTAAATCACCACAATACACCAAAACACTTTTACTTTTACACTGGACGCGCGATTATAAACTGAAACAGTTTATAATCATCTGCTGATGATGCTAATAACATGGTTAGCGAAACGCGCGTCCAGTGTAAAAGTAAAAGTGTTTTGGTGTATTGTGGTGATTTAGTGTTTTTATTTTGCAAGAGTCATAATTTGTCAAAATTCAAGATTTCTTTGGGTGGGCCCGGCGCGGCACCCCCAGACATCCCTGCAGTTACGCCAATGTTTCTATGGCAATATAATTTCGTTTTCATTCTTTGATAAATTGTTATTTATAGAATTTTAGTAAACGTCATATTTTTGCTGTTTTAAAATGTTAAAGAAGCATAAAATATATTTAGTTCAATGCTATGGAAAGAGTATAGGTAATAATAGTTATCGGAAAATGTAATAACAACAGCAAAAAATATGACTATAGTTAATCAAAATGAATAATAACTATCAATGAATGAATGAAAGCGAAATTATAATGGTAATTTGGAAAAGTAGAGACGGGATTAACCATTTTGTAAGCAAAAATTTTTATGAGGAATGCATTTTTCTCAAAATTCATAAAATAATAAATAAAAGGTTTCCCTCTTGTAAATCCGGTGACATACTGTATATTAAATCTACATTTATTCTATATACATAAACGAATATTTTTTGTTTTAGTAATTATTATTTATAAAATCTCATTTATTTATTATCGAAATAAAAAAATCTATTGATTATAAAGTTGCCCTAATTCTAGCATTATTGCCACACAAAGAAAGCTAGATTTAAATCTAGCAATCTTGTAAAATGTCAAAGGAACAAAAAACTTGGGAAAAAAAGACTTGACATAAATAATTACTTTTTAGAGAAAAAAAAGATGAGTAGGTAGTTTTATAAATTTTGCAAGATACTCATACACTTAATATCAAAAGCTCAACAAATTTTATCTTTAAAACAAACCCTAGAACAGAACTGTTGCAGTTCAGAGTGACACTACCAGACACAAGGACGACACTATAAGTCGATAAAAACATCGCGCATCATCACACCACTTTCAATCCGTGAATTCGTGCCAAAAATTAATTAATTTTTCCAAACAACAGAGAAAAAACAACAGACTGTGCGTCTTTTGTCGTAGACCCTTACACCAAACGCTCTCTTTTTTATTTCACCCTTAATTTCGAAAAGTAGGCCGCTCGCGTCAACCTGTTCAATTATTTATAGATATTCTTTTGTATTTTTTTTTGTTCAAAACCGTCGTCAAAATGTTACAGGAATTTATAAAACAAATCAAGGTGAAAATTTGACACTTACGTTTGAGATTAATGTGGAAAAATACGAAAGCACATTGCCGTGGAATACACACCGTGTTCGCGTTATGTGTTATCGAGCTTTTAGTAAAGACGTCGCTCGCTATTGGACGACAAAGCGCGACTGACCCGACGCCCGGCGATGGCGTCGGGACGGCGCCGACGCGCGTCGTTGCGGCAGATCGATGGAGAAACGGGTGCTCCCCTTCGTTGCCAAATGTCGTTTTTAAAATTCAAAAAGCGGGAAATTCTACCAGAATTTTAAAATTTCCTCCGATATCGGCGACATCTATGGACGAGTAGGTGACCCTCGGTTTAAAACAGTCAAAAAGAAATCTGTATTTTCCATATTATAATTTTTACCGTTAAACAATTATGAAAAAAGTAAATACAGTAAAATAGGTAATTTGTATTTAGTTTTTTATAACCTCCTAGTTTTTTTAATTAAAAAATAGTAAAACTTATGGAAAAATAAATATATTTTCCTTTACTAGCGACATCTATTAACCGTTAGTTTGTTCTGACATAGATAAATAAAAAGGAAACCGTAATGTTCATGATAATTTTCATAACCTCACTTAAATGTGTCAAATAAATTATGGAAAATTTGCAAATATTCTTATTAATTATCTATTTATAAAGTGTGAAAAAAGTAAACACAAGAAAATAGGTAAAGTATATTTAACTTTTCTTAATGTCCTATATTTATTAAGATTATGTCGTTAATCAAGGTTTTTTTATCCTAATTTTCTTTAAATATTTTTTCATGTTACATATTTTAGGTATATCTACTATCTTGTACTGTCTTAAAAAATAACAACTTTTAACTGTTTAAAACAAATTACATTTATATTTTAAGCTTAAAAATATTGTAAAAAGTAACAGTTATCAAAGTACCTAATCATTAAAATAATAATTAAAGTTTTACTTAAGTCCAATTTTTTTAAAGATTTATTATAGCAAGAATAAAACAATCTGGATTTTGAAATGTATCTTATATTAACATTACAAGAAGTCACAAAAATCGATTTAATATCACAAAATTTTATACAACCTTCAAGTATTAATAAAAACCTATGTTACATAGGATTTCAGCTCTCATATTAAAGTCCCTAATTATATACATATATTTTAATCTTAAAAAAGTCATAAAAATTAACAGCTAGCATAATACAAATACATTTAGATAAAAGCAACAAATAAATTAGTATTTAAATGTTAAGTATTTTAAAGTCAGTCAGAAAAATAGCTATTAAAAGTCTAAGTTAAAAGATAACAAATACACCAATTATTCTAGACATCTTGAGATTCGATTGTTGTATATTGCACTTTTCGAGTTATGGCATCAAATACTGGAGATAGTTTTGTTCGAACACTGTCTTTCTTTAAATAGACATAAGCACCCAGCAAACTTAATAAAATGAACACTAAAATAACCAACAGCACTGTCAAAGCTTGCGATACTTTTGCCTGACTCGATTCTGCCAAGCTCTTCATGTTAACAATATATTTTTGACCATACTTTGTTGTTTTACACTGTAAAGATTCTTTATGTCTCACATTGATATTTGTACTTTTAATCCATGAGTAAAAATCTTTTGCTGCATCGCATTTAAATGGATTATTTCTGACTTCTAACACAAAAAGATCTTGCCTATCGGGACTGTTAGCCAGGACATCAAATGCTTCTAAATCTTTTGCAGAGAAAGATGTGATATTATTGCTTTCTAGATCTAAATATCTGAGCTTTTTTAAACAGAGAATATCAAAATTTAAACTAGGTATATTGTTATCACCTAGATATAGGTCGTGTAAGTTGGGCAAGTCACAAAAAACTGTTTTATCTTTCCAGTTTTTGATTTCATTTTGCTCCAAATGAAGTTTATAAAGTTTGGTCAAATTACTGCTAACAAAAATGTCATGTAAATCATCAGCTAACTCGGCATCAGTATTGTCTGCAAAGGCATTAGTTAAATGCAGTTCTTCCAAGTTAAAAAAATTGGAAAAAACCCTTGGGTGATGGAAGTTTCTATCATACTCTTCAGCAATTGATATATTATTGTGGTTTAAAATAACTCGTTCTACATTAGTCACATGATGAAAAGATTTACCTTTGATTTCTTGAATACCATTATTGCTCATGTCAATTACTTTTAAGTCACTTAAATCCACTTCATCACCGAAAATATTTGAGGGTAATATGTTCAGATGGTTTCCAGTGAATATTAACATCTGGGTCTCTTCAGGAAGCACTGCTAGAGCATCTGTATTGGTAAATCCAACGTTTGTGCAATTTACAACAAACATCCTTGTACGGTCTATATATTGTTCTCCACAGAAGCATTTTTCCAGTAACTTATTTCTACACTTGTTAATGTCTGACTGCACCAACAGAAATAACATACATAAAATTAATATATGTTCCATGCTGGTCTTCATTCTGCAAAGATAAACATAAAACATTATGGTTACATCAAAGAATCATACATATTTTATGGGGATTTCCTATTAAGGGATTTCCAATTATTTTACACACATTAGGTTTTTTCATGCATTTTCTTAGAGGTACATACTACCAGGTACTCACCTATTAATCAAATTATCGACAGGACTTAATTAACTGGTATAAAACAAGCTTAAAATGCCATTAAGTTGAGAAATCTTGTTTGTTTTTCACGTAAAGTAACATCAGCGCAGACCTTGCTGCTTGTTGGTTGGCTTGAACACAGGTAGAAATCCAAACAGTGAGATCAACAGGTGTGTCAAGGTTGTGTCTTTTTGGTTGCCGACCAGTTAGGGGCTTTGTTATATTAATTAAAAATTTTATAAAAAAATTATCTTATTTTAAATTAAATAAATTTCTAGGGTTTAAGTGAGACATCAGATTTTATTGCTGAAGTGAAAAAATAGACTAGTTTTGTTGAAATGAATCCAACTGTTTATTTACAAACTGGTGGTAATAGGTATTCTATTTTAAGATCTGACTGTTTCTGTTTTATTAAGATGTAATATTATTCAGAGTTTAGCAGTGAGATAAATTTATTTTAAGTCGTATTGTTAGATTTTATTGACAACAGTGTGCGAGAATTCAAATAAACGCAAAGGGTTTTTATTCGCCTACAGGTTCAGCCAATCAGATGTCGAGATTCAGGTTCAAATCTTGAAATCCCTTTATCAACCTTATTTTAACTTGAATCATTTTCGCGTTGAAATTAAATGTATTTTGTCAGTGTATCAGATATATACAGGGTGTTTCAAAACAAATGCGAAAAACTTCAGGGGGTGATTCCTTGTTAAAAATAAAGGGTAGTTTGCTTTATAAATGTTGGGTCAAAAGTCAACCATTAGGGAGATATCGCGGAACAAAGATGGCGGGAAAATAATGTTTTTATTTTTTATCTTGAAAACGAAAAGCGATAGACTAATGAAATTTTATAGCAGCATTACTGTTATAAAAACACACTTTCTGGTAATTTTTTTACTTTTTTAAAATGAGTGGAAGGGGTTGAAATAAACTACCCCTATCATTCTTGTTAACGAAATTTAAAGAAAAATCTTATCAAACACATGCAAGATGCATTAATTTGGATAGTTTAGTTGATTTAGAAACTTTTTTATCTCTTGTGTTTTTTTGATAAAAGTCACCGATTTGAAATTAAAAAATAAAATGTAAAGCATTACATGTCAGGACAAAAAACATTTTTAGTTAAAGAATCTAGTTGGCTGCTGTAATTTTCTTAGGAAAAAATCTAGTCGACCGCTGTCACTTTTTAGGATGTTTCTAATATTATTTAATTTGACATACTCTACTGCAATACGTTATTATCTTACGATCAATTAATTATTCCGAAGCCTTTTTTCTCTATCTAAAAATGTTTTCTGCCCTGACATGTATGTAATGCTTTACATTTTATTTTTTAATTTCAAATCGGTGAGTTTTATCAAAAAAACACAAGAGATAAAAACGTTTCTAAATAAACTGAACTATCCAATTACTTTTTTGCATGTGTTTGATACGATTTTTCTTTAAATTTCGTTAACAAGAATGATAGGGGTAGTTTATTTCAACCTCTTCCACTCATTTTAAAAAAGTGAAAAAAATACCAGAAAGTGTGTTTTCATAACAGTAATGCTTCCATAAAATTTCATTAGTCTATCTCTTTTCGTTTTCAAGTACTGCGATATCTCCCTAATGATTGACTTTTGACCCAACGTTTATAAATCAAAGTACCCTTTATTTTTAACAAGGAATCACCCCCTGAAGTTTTTCGCATTTGTTCTGAAACACCCTGTATATAGTATTGATTTGAATGGCTATACAATAAACATTGTGCTTGTTTTTGATGTAAAGTAACATGAAAGACCTTGTTCAGCTATTTTTTTTTATTATCTTTGTACTTGTTAATTCATCACCAAACCTTCTAATTCTCTTTATAGCTTCAGAATTTTTTATTACAGTACTATAGTCTGTCCAGTCAGAAGATCCACGACGGTGACAGTTGTGTTTGTCATTTTAATTCACAAGTAACTTGTATTTTCTGTCATTTTTTGGATGTCATGTGTCGAAATATTCACTGACTCGTAGGATAGACTTTAAATAGTCTTGTTTTCTTTAGATTAGCAACTGGTGTTAATTTAAATTTAAAGTAATTTATAATAAACGTCATATAATTCTGTTAATTCTCTAAAGTGGAAAAAATATTGTTATTAAAAAAATATGCAAAATAACACCAAAGACTACACTAGTCTTTGATAACACCATGTTCAATAACAACGAAATATTTTGACATGTCATGTAACATAGGGTTCCCAACCGTCCCGGTTTGGCCGGGATTAAACCAGGAATCAGAAAGTTTGTCCCGGCGAAAGTTTTGCCTTGGCCGGGACCTGGAAACTAAAAAAGTGTGTACCACACACGTAATATATTTTAATTTCTAATATTTAATTTTTTGTTTCAATTATTTAAAAGCTTAAAGATAATTGTCCCGGAATCGCCGATGCTCAAGTTGGGAACCCTAATGTAACAACTGTTTTGGCAGCAAAAAAGTCCTTCAACATGTTGAAGGCCATTTTGTTTGTTTGTTAAATGCCAGCATCTCAGTTGACACATGACATGTCAAAATATTTCTATTAACCATTCTAAACTAATTCACTCAATATTTTTGTCGCCATTTTTGGGAATATTTTGCTAAAAGTTAATAAAGTTTTAATTCCTTTTCATATGCTGTTTTCCAAAGAATTAATTTTAGAAGAAATAAAACAAATTTATACTTAATAGACTATACTTTATTGTATTCCAAAAATCAGGGATATTTGAAGAAAAAACAAAAAAAAACTTTATTTAATCTTCTTGTTACGTTATATATTTATTTTGTTCGTAAATTAGATAAAATAAAACATCTGCGGAAAAAAATCACAAAATTATATCACTCTTCTGTTTCTTAAGCTGAACAACCATAGCTGTACACACCCCACGTAGATTACACAAAAACCATCATAAGTTGTTTAAATTTTATCATAAACAATGAGTTCTAACTTTCAGTTATGTTTTGTAATATCTCAGTGGGGAGTATCTTAGTTTGGCTCGTTTTTGTTGTATTATTTCAGAGGCTAACTTAAGTTATTTTACAATTAAAACAAAAATCAACAATTAATAATTATAGATATATTTACTCTATACATATATTAAGTTTTTTTTAGCGAAATTCAATTTTTACTTTATTTTTTAAGCTTAAAAAAAGGGGATCGAAAAACATATGATCGAAAAATGTGACTTTAGTAGTTCAATCGCTGAACAAATCCTTTAAATATCTTATAGTCAACTTACACCTACTTTTATTCGATCATATATTAATATCAACACAAAACAAATTGCAACCATATCACTAGAAAAGAATAAAAAAATGTTAGGTATCTCGAAAATTTTACTTCCAGTTAGAAGTACAAAACATATATTTATAAATATAACTTGTTAATAATAAATCTTGTACATATATTATATGTTTAATTTTGTAATAATTTATTTTTTTTTCGTTTTGAGGCATTGTTTCATTGAAATTTATAATTTAATTATAGTTTATTATTTTTAAGATTGATACAAATCTATTATGTGCAACTACAGAACAAATTTAAGTGATTGAAACATCTGTTTAAACAATTTAATTAATTTTAAAATCAAATAATTTGAAATAATTAGAATCTATCTGATTAATATGATCAAATAAAAAAAAGTTTAGTCCTCAATAGGTACTAAATTTCCTTTGAACTACTAAGTTCAAATAAAATATCGAAATGTCGGTTATGAGCTAGACAAGCTATGTATTATTTACTTGATCATATCATAATAAAAGAAATTGAAATTGTTGAGAGTTATGTTTACTGCAACAAATTAATTTTTTTTTTTTTATTTCATGTAAAAAAACATGTTCTTAACAAAAAAATAAAATCCTCAACAAAAAAAATCAAGAAAAAATTAAAATATAGTTGTCTCTAAATATGAATTTAGATTTAATTCATACATGTTATCTTAGTATCTTAGATCTTTAATATTCAAGCCATTGCTGATTATAATTGACCAACTATCATCAGAATTTACTGAATTTAAAATCAGTTGAAAGCCACCATATTTAAACCTGTTTAAATAGTTATTACATATGTGGTTGTAAAAATTAGTCTGTAAACATGAATTTAAATTTAATTCATACATATTATCTTATCTTAGATCCTTAATAGTCCAGCCAATTGCTGACTATAATTGGCCAGCTATTATCAGAATTTACTGAATTCAAAATCAGTTGACATATATGTGGTTGTAGAAAAATACGTCAAATAAGCATAGAAAGATAACAGTTTATGAAGTTTAGTTCGAATTTTACTGTCTGGTTGCTGAAGTTTTTGATAATAATAGTATCATTTATGTTAAATGCTTGTTAAACGTCAAACTACAATATAAAGAAAATAGTTTTCAAAAAAAATAAGTATATATTTTAGGAATTATTTTTGGTTTCCTGTTGGTAAGTACTTAACGATTCAACAAAAACTCAAAATGTCACTGAAAATTTTCAAAGAAAGGCAGTAAAGCAGTGGTTTTTGTTGAAATTTTTGAAACAAAATAGTCTGAAAACGTAGGATTTTATAACTGATCGTAAATGACCGTTCTCAAATAAAAATATATAGGCTGAGGGCTATGTGGGTGACATTAAAATGCTTTTGTGCCTTTCTGTGTTGGTTAATACGTTTCATCTCTTTCTGTCATTTGTAGTCATGATAATCAATGATTTTGATTCACCCTACTGAAAAAAATAAATTGGAAAATTTATTTTATCAGATAAGTTACCTGTTTTTCAAATAATTTAATCAGCAAATCCTAAAAAAATCAGCTCAATTTTAATAAAGCTGATTTTTTTTCCAGGATTTAACGAATAAAATATTTGAAACCCCATTTTCCAATTTCCCAGTAGGACGAAAAGTCGTCAATATCATGATTCCAAAAAAAAAACACCAGTTTTCGAAAATTTTCGCAGAGGAAAAAAATCATAATCTCATCATAATTTAACAACACGAAGAATAACAAAAATATTTCAATGATTAAACAGACATGTAGGCTAGCAACCAGACTAATATGAATATAACTGATGATCTGTTAAATGCAGGTCTACCTGTTCTATCTACAAATTTTGAAATTTCCCAACAACAAAACAACCCAAAACATTTTCTATTCTCTTTTCCTCCAATCACTCAACAATTTAGAAACAAGCCTCAAAACGTTACCCAACCACATCCCCCTACTTAACCCTCAATTTCTTCTTCTTCTTCCTCTCCATCTTCCCCAATTCCGTAGCGCTGCTCAACCTCCTCAAAGCCTGCTTCTTCAACTTCACTTTGGAGCAAGTCTTCGCAAAATTGTGCACCCGAAACACCCCCTGCTGGGGCTTGCTGGGCCCAGGCTCGGAAGACGATCCAACCATCGAGTAATGTGGCGCGGAAGAAGCCCTGGTTTTGTGCGAAAACACTGTAGCTTTTGAGGAAGGTGCATCCCATGACACTACCAAGCTGTCATCGAACTCTTCCCCTTCCTTGTTCTTATACTTCGCTATCATCGTCTTACCCCCCTCTGTACTCTTAATAAAGCAAATCTCCCTTAGATGGAGCTCCGAGGAAGCGCTCTCGACTGGTTTAGGCTCCTGAAGTTTCTTACACGGCCTCTGCACGACCCTAGGCCGTTTCTCCGCCAGATTCTTCGCCTTATACGTCAGATCCTTGCGACTCTTGGCCTTGAACGGTCGGTTGAGCTTGACAGATGACCTTGACGAGGAGCAGCTGGGCTGGTTCTCCTTGCGCTCGACGGGCACGGCCTTCTTGGCGATGGCCTTGGACGCTTGGGGCCGGACCTTGAGCTTGGCCTGAGAAGCAACAAGTAAAACTTACCAATTGGGTTTTGGGGGTGGTGCATTAATTAGAGAGAACGTTGGGGTGGAGCAGAGGGGGGCCTGTGCGGTCCCCTCTGGCGGTGTGATTGTTTTGAGTGCGCGGTCACGTGCGCTGTGCTATAGAAGAAGGGGCGAGGCGGTTAAAACCTCATCAGCCGGAGCTGTCAAAAAAATACAATCGTGAATGGTTTTTTACTCCTGTTTGTGAGGGTGAATGACAGAGGCACATATAGATATAGATATTACTGGTAATATATTTAGTGGTTTTAAGTTACTTGTGAATATTATGATGATATTGGCTTTTATATCTATTTTAAGTCTTTCTCAAGATTATTTCCTAAGTATATTGCCACTAAAAAAAGTAGTATAACCGTATGCATTCTTTGTTTTGACCCAATCTATAAGCGAACCGTTGTTTTACCAACCAATTGTTGGGTTATTTATAGTGTGACTTGACCACAGATTTACTTAGTATACTTAATATAATCTTTTTTTTTTCAATATTTGACGTTATTACAAAAATTCCATGTTTTTTTTTCAGCTTTACTAAACACAATGCTATAATTGAGTATATACGCCTTAGGTAAACGCTAGTCTTTAACAAGGACTGTATATATTCTAAAGGACTGTTCGATCGCGTCAAATCGCCGCTGTCGTAGTCGCCGTGGAATGCTACGTCACGCGCTGACCAGCGCTCCACAATGCGGCGGATGGTTATTCTAGCGGGACAAAATCTCAAGAACAATGTTTGGGACTTAAAATCTAAGAACGTAGCAAATGGTCTAATAAATAGCAACTATATGGTTAAATTTATTTATTTATTAACAACTTAATTTATTAATAAATAAATACAAGATAATAAAACTATGATATTATTCGTACCTGACACACAAAAACCGTATTGTAAACTATTGCCAAATACATAAAATTATGATATCAAAAAACTCTAGCAGTTTTTTTTTAATTAATTTGTAATCTTGTGACACCCTCTATAATTTATTTTAAAAAAATATATTTTATTTTGAAAATAATAAATAAGATAGATATTTTAATTTTAATTTTATCAACTTTACTAAACACAATGCTATAATTATTGATTAATTATAAATTACTGAAAATGATTGTAATTATAAATTCATATATAGTAAGTATCTAAGACAATTTTTTAAACTCAGTGCCTTTTGATGGAGTTGTTTTGTTTTTATACTATCCGATTGAAATGAATCTTTTTGGGCATTCACCTGTTAAGTTTGAACTCCCTGTGACTGCGACTACCTGTGTTGGTAACTATTGGTAACTCAAAAGATCTACATCATTCAATATATCGATATTTGAAAAAAAAGTGTAAGTTTGATATCTGCAGAACAAAGGCACGAAGGATTTTAACAAATAATATACATACAGTAGAAAAGTACATACCTTTGGCAATCTTCAACATAATTTGGCTTTCTAATAAAATGTATAAGCATTTGTAAATATTTTGTTTTCGTATGATCTCTGCCTTGCTGAGCAGAAAACGACCAAATTTGGTTGATAAAAATGTATCGAAATACAAAGAATATTCATGCATTTTTTATCAATTGGAATGTCTACTATTTATTCTTATCAGTACACATTTTTTGGCTTATTTCTAACCAAACGCTTTTGTCCCGCTAAATTTATCTTCCAAGGCACTGTGCGCTCGTCCGTCAAATGCAAAAATAACTGTCACTGTCTAAAATCTTTAGCGCCAACTTCAACTCGGTCAGTAGATGACGTAAAAAAACTGACAGTGCAGGAAGATAGGAATCGAACTATCCTTATCTCTATAGTATCCTTGAGTCTTTAATACGTCTTACCTGACAGGTAAAACTTTATGTCTAGAGATGGCTTTAGATTTTTAGTGGCATATACCCAGTAAATTTCATCAAAAAAAAAACTACTGAAATTGACTAATTATATTTACTTATAAAAACTTATAAAGCAAATATAAAATAAGTCCTCTATAGTCCTTTCAACCCAATCATACTTACCAGATTTTAACGCATGTAGAAAATATTGCCTCCTATGCCTAACGGTATATAATTTCTGTAAGGTGGTATATCTCTATAGATCATTTTTAATTATATCTATTCCGTATAATCTGTATGTTAAAATTAAATAGTTTAATGTCTATAGATTTTGACATGTAAAAATGTAATAGCGCTAAATCATATTAAACAGAATAATACAAAAATAGATCTAATCTAAATACAGGGTGTTCCAATATTCCGTGGACATAGAATTACTACGTATAATTATTGATCACAATTTGCCTCTATACAGAAGTGTTTCGTTTTTCCGTTAGAGGGCATCGACCAAAAAAACCCGAACGTTAATTAATTTAAACTTTATGAAGCTTATTGTCAAATATCATGTGATACTAACAGAAAATTCCATATCTTCGCCAACTAGATTATTAGCGCGTACTAGATTTTATGCGCCTATATAGCTTGATGGGCAACGGCCCAGCTACGTCGAAACATCGGTTCCCATTAGAACACCGAAGTTAAGCGACGTAAGGCGATACTAGTGGATGGACAGGTGACCGCGCTTAGAAACTCTGTGTCGTGCTGTTGTCCAATAAAGGCAAAAGCGTAAAATCTATTGACACACACTGCTCATTCACGCCGCACAGTGGGGTATTTGACACAGATAGTTGATCGAAATTTTTTTATGTAGACCTTATATAAATTATTGCTATTTTCAATTAAAGAGGAAATAATATGAACAAAATAAAGGATAATTCGTCGATTCTAAAAAAAAGAAAGAAAAATCACTGTTCCAGTGTTTCCACTGTCAATGCCACTAATGTCAGTAGTAATATCGCAACTATAATACTACTAATGCTACGACTGATCCGCGAGCAATGCCCATACCACTAAAGTCGCTACTAATGCCAAATTGTGCTATACTGCTAATGGCACTAATGCGATCGCTTTGTACACAACAATGCCATCGCGGTTTACACCTCGCATTAGTATATCACTGATTGGCAAATTAGGGGAAACCAAGAATGTTTTTCTCATTTTATCAGCAAAGTCGCAGTATTTTATTTTACTGTATGAAAGCCCAATGTTTACTAAGTAAAACGTATATAGACAATATGCTGGATTCTTCGAAATGCGCAACTAAATCTCTAAGTATAATAAAAATGTCACAAATTTAATCAAATTTTCTGAACGCCTAACTTTTAGTTGCAAAAAAAATCGTTAGTATAGAGAATATCAAAATAAATAATACGTTTTTGTAGAATACATACCTGCAGCTTGCTGAGCCATTTTCAATCAAAACAATAATATAAACGTAAAAAGAGCACAAGAACAACAACAATTTAGAATTTTAAACATAAAATTTGTCTTTACCTCTTATCTGTGAGAAGTAACAACTTTGACGTTTCGCTGAAACAAATGAATGCAACTAAACACACCCATAGCAATGCCATTCATGGCAGACATGATTTAACTTATCATTTATCTTTTTTTGGGAAATCTTAAACACATTTGCTTTTTCGAATTTCGATCACCTTTTTCATGCTAATACCCCACCGTGCGCCGGTTCGAGGCCGGATGAGATCGGATATCTCGTGAGTAAGAGTTGATTTAGACACTTGTCAAGTCGGTAGGCCATTGACCGTGATATGGCCGAGGACCGCAGTTCGGGTTCCGCGTAAACAAAATAGGCCCCGTCCAGATTAGCCCTGGCAGCAAAAAGGAGGCGTTAACTGAAATCTTTACTTTATATAGCTTGATCTGTCAGGAACATTTGTTGTAACTCAACTACGGAAAAACGTCTTTTTTTTCAAAAATTATGCGCGGTGGCGTTTTTTTTTACAAGAGACAAACAATATAGTAAATACCAGTAGTACCGTATGATCGAAAATAAAACGGCGTCAACGATGGCTATGAAATGAAGATCGCTGTCATTTTATATGTAAAATTATATGGGGAATGTTAACGATGTTCATTTCCAAGCCAACTGGATGCCGCTTTTTTTTCGGTCATACGATACTAGAATACTAGAATAATAAATACTAAGATTTGAAAGTCAAATATGAAAGCACTTAGCAAAACATAGGCACCCTAATGTTTAATAAAATTAACGGTTCTTAAAATATCTTAAAAAATATCTTTTTCTTTATTAAGGTTTCATGCCCTCTAACGAACAAACGAAGCACTTTTGTATAGAGGTAAATTGTGTCCAATTAACTTACTTTGATTCAAAAAATACGCAGTAGTTCTATGTCCACGGAATATTGGGTCACGTATATGATGAGAAAATTATCATATTATATCGTATGTAAAAAATAATTGAATCTACGTTTTGAAATAAAATTCAAAAAAAATGCCTACGTTTTATGTCGTTGATCCGCCTTCTGTCATTATTTTAAATAATTCTTAATATATATATTTTTTTTAAATTAAGGAAATGTCTTTAAACATTAGAAAAAAATAAATATTACCAATAATTTCTTACAGCACAGACAACACAAAGAAGCTAAAGGGAAAAATCTACAAAAAAAAATCAAGCTCATGAGTGTGTTTTGTGTGTGCGTGTAATTTTAAATAAATAATGTAACAGAAAAAAAAATAACTCTAAAAATATAAATCGATTTAATTATACGAAAAAAATAGTGTACAAATTATCAATTACAATGAAAATATTAATCACAGATCAGTTATGTTGATATTTTAGATAAAAAATAAAATGGCAAGAAGTTAGAGTAACATTAGATTACAAAAATAAAATTTGTATACCCAAATATTTTTTTTCTCTTTTTTTACAAATAAAAATTATTAAATACAGCCTGAGATTCACTTGTTAGTTACAAATTGATGTTTATTTGATATACTGATACTTTTTTTATAAAACTACCGTAAAATCAAAAAGTTCAATATTGGAAAAAGATTTAAATATTGACAGATAAAAAATTCCCTATAGTTAAAAAAATGGGGTCATACCATTCATATTTTCTCCAAATAAATGCTTATCTGTCAATATTAATAAAGCCTTGATTAAAATTAAACTTTTTGATTCTACGGTACTACCTATTATATGATGACTACATCGATGGCTTCTGTTTTTATTAAGCTACATTACTATTAATTTTTAGCTATTATTTCTTACTGTTAGTGATGTATTCGTAGTTTGGTTTCCACTTTAGTGTATGATTGAAAAAAAAAGGTGTCACAGTGGCCTTTGAAATTACGATCAATGATAATTTCTGTCCACCTAAACAGATACCTATACCTAATTTATTAAGAATTTATATAAAAGTTATTATTTAGTTAAGAAAAAAGTAAAGTCCTTGCAGGCACAGTCTTATATAGAAGAGGCTGTATACCAGGTGTTTTTCAAAAGTGGATCTCACAACATTCTTATTTTTTCAGACAAGACGATATTCGATATGTGTATATATGACATAAATCAGGATTGTATGACGTATTCAATTTATTTCGGTCACTTCCTGTTTCACCGGAAATGATTACAATTTTTTATTTTTAAATAGTATCCTCAGTATTTTTTACTTTATTTTTTAAATATGACATTCTGAATAGAATGAAATGACATACCATATGTCAACTTTTGACATTTTTGCTTAAAAAATTGCATTCTAAATTTCAATCTAGATGCAATGCCTGTGTTCATAACAAAAATTTGACTCAAAATACCAAGTATGTGATACCAAATTATTTGTAAAAATGCTTTTTTGAAATATGTTAATGAGCCACCCTCGTTCCATTTGAAAAATTTGAGTTATGAATAAAAATACGATTTGGTTCATCTGGTCAGCCAGGAAAAGACACAAGAAACATTATACGATCAAATCTATTTTTCCAAGGCTTCTTGGTTAAAAATTAGCGATTTTAACACAACTAATACCTCTGGACTCTAGATTGAAATTTAAAATACCTTTTTTTAACTGAAGATTTAAAATTAAAATGTCAAAAGTTGATATATGATGTCATTCTTTTTAGAATGTCATTCTCTATGAATTATAATAAAAAATACTGAGGGTACCATTTAAAAATTAAAAGTTGTAGTTATTTACAGTGAAACAGAAAGTGGCTGAAACTAATAATTGAATACCATCAATCTATCCTGATTTATGTCATAATATATACTAAATTTAGTTTTTTATCTGAAAAAAATAAAAAAAATTATAGAGGTGCCATTTACAATCATATGAATTCAGCTGTAATGAGAATTAGAGCAGGAAGCCATCGATATATTTCAACAAAAATCCCCAAAATATATAGTAAAAATTACTCAAAATAGTTTAAAATCAATTTTAATCAGTATCAATTCCATACAAGACGATATCTTTTGTATTAAACCCCTTCTCCCGCCCCTAAAGAAATTGGACAGATGTCAGCAAACCGCGCATGTGGTTATGGACACTGGGATGTCACTGTCATCGTCATCGTCAAGGCCTACCTGAGTTTGCGGCGCCGTGTGGCCGGCGGCCGACGGTCTGATGCGCGTCATTTTCGGCTTGCCCTCGCCGAAGCTGTTGTTGCAACAGCTGTTCCTGAGCCAATCCCTCAAACCGCCCAGATTGTGGAACTCGGAGTTGGGCAGTCGGGAAAAAGGGTTCTGGCCTGTGAGGTCTAAAATGGACGCTCCCAGCGACTTTCCGGCCTATAGAGAAGATAGATGTTGAGGTTATAGCTAATCCGCACTTTCTATTTTAATCCTAACCTTAATGTTAGTCCTAATCTCAAAAATATGAATAAAGGTAAACGAATCTCAGCGTTCGAGGTTCAAATATAGGTCGTACAAAATAAAAATCATTGCGAGCTATCGATTAGGCTAATAAACGTGCGCAGTGCTACCACTACACAAATATATATACATAACCCTAATGGGACGTTTTCAGTGATTTTTAAATTTCCCACTAGATATTGTGTTGGCAACACTAAGGAAGCGGTTGCAGCGGTGCCACGTTTATTTGACATTTGCCAGAATTTTCTGAACGTTAGTTGAGAGTTGTGTCTCGTGTGTATTGTATCTTTTAAAGCTTTTAAAATCTTTATCTAGCGGTCGAAAACTGTTGTTTTCAGAATATTTTGTGTAGTAGTTGTTAGTTTTTTCTTTGCAAAATGCCCAGGCAGTTAAATAGTCGGTGCCAAGAAGTAGTGTCATCTCTGATACAATATTTTGACAAAGAAAGGGACAATAACGGCCCCTTGTTGCCTTTAAAAGCGGTTCGAGAAGTAAATAAAACATAAAAATAAAGATGTTTGGTAAAACTTAACCTAATATATATTTTTAGCGTGTAGCAGCAGCAGTGGCCCTCAACATTTACCACTCTTTATAATAGATAATATTTTGAATTGCCTGAAACCCAGACTGTTATGTTTTAAACATTTTGTCCAAAATAATGTTTTTAAGACACCATTACTTGTTTTAAATATTTGTTTAAAACAGAATATTAAATATGTTTGGTATGTAGGTATTTATTTCAATAAAAAAATGAGAAAAACTCTTTCAACTATTTAACAAAAAAAACTACAACAATACAAAAGAAATAAAAAACAAAATAACGAGCACAACTTAATATTGTCTAAAAAAACTATTAATTCTGTACTACTACGACGAGGAGCACCATTAAGGTTTCTAAAATCGAATTAAGTTTTGCCCCTTGGCTTTATCGTTACTCAACGTACTTCTTAAATCTGAATGTCATATACACGATATAGTTTAAAACAAGTGTTTTAAACATATTTTCGACTTATTTGGAGTTACAATCTTCTTTAAAACCATAAAAAACTGTTTTAAACAATAAAAAACATGTTTTGTTTAAAAAAAATTCAGCACTGTTTGAAACTATTTAAAACTGTTAACAATTTAAAGTTTATTTCAGAATTTTTAAGAGATCTGAGATATAGTAAATTTTTCAAAAATATTTCTCTTCTGATGACAATTTGACAACAATGCTGTCTGAAATGTACGCACATTCTCGATGACGTACAACGGTTTTTAATTTGTATGACCTTTACCTCAAAAATCTTAACATTAGCCTAAATCCTAAGAAATATGGGATATTTTATATTCTTAAGATTAATGCTAATTATCAAATAATTAGCATTAATCTTAAGAATATTTGCGCTGACAATACATGACAGTGACAGTTGTTGTCTTGTCAGTTTAATTCCCAGGGTAATTTTATTTTCTGGAAATGACGATCACTAGTCGAAATTCTCCTTGTCGAAATGCTCCCCTACTCGTTGAACAAACATCAATAACGTTTTTTTGAATGTGGTAGACAATAATTCGATGATAACATAGCTTATTCAGTACCCTACTGGATATTTCTATAGTGGGTATCTATGATATCTCTATAGCAAAAAAGTGATTTTTTTTCTCTATAGGTGCATCTTCATACTTTCTGCCCTCTACTTATGTATATAAGTCATAGACAAAAATCTCTGAAGATGCTAGAAAAAATTTCCACAAAACAATAAGCCCTATAAGATATACAGGGTGGTCCGAACTGTATTCCGGAAACTTTGGCAGCATATTCTGCAGATAAAAATAAGAAAAAAGGTCTTATAAATGTATGTCCTAAAATGCTTAGTTTCAGAGATACAGGGTGTAGAGGTTTCATTTTTATTTCGATTTTTTCCAAATAATTTCTGTAAGTAACGTCAATACTTGGATGAAAATTGGTAAAAAAACTGGGTATTGAGTAAGCTGTGATTTTAAATCATTCAACTCCTTATAAGTTTATTCATACTAACCTCTTCGAAAATTTGCGGTGTATATTTTGGCGGTACCGGTAACGTGTGCACTTTATTGGCCGATTCTTTGACGGTAGGTGGCAGCACGTTTACGAACCTACCGGTATTGTAATTGCACTCCAGAGTGTAACTCTTTATAATACCCGTAATGGACAGCACAGCCACTCTGCCTGATCCTGCCCTGCTCATGCCGTCACGCTTATCCCTGTAACGAAAACAATTTGTGGATGAACATGAACCACACTGATATACAGTGTACGTCAAAAAATTCGCAATATATGTTTTTTATTATCAATTATTCTAATAACATAAAATATCATTGAGGCTGTTAGAGCTACGCGTACAAATAAGGGCCTATCTATGATATTTTGTGAACAAACAAATTCAAGTGATTATTCAATGCGTGTTCCCGAGTTTCTCTTAGTTAGAGACAAACACTGCGGTGACCCACGTGCCTTATCTGTCTTATAAAGTTAACATAATTATTTCATAAACTGACAGGTTATTAAAATTATAATCTGAGTTTTAACATCAGAAGTGGGATATTAACCCGTAATAAAGTGGTCAATGCTTGAAAGATGGCTGAACAAACAATATATGAAGTAAGTACAATGTAAACGTGTGTAGTCCTATGTTGTATCTTGATTGTGTATTTAAATTATATAGTTTTGCCGATGCTGGGAAAATAGTTCTAATATAAATATAAGGGTCCCCGAATTATCTTTTGATAGGCGAGTAAAGCATTCAGTTGTTCTTTTATTTATATTAAATCACGCATGCATACTTTCTGGTTAGATTTCCTAAAAATATTTTTATTCGTACCGAATGGCTAAATATATTTTTTATAATTTAATTTTTGATTTTGTGTTATTGTTCAAATATATGCATTTTACAAATTAAATTTTTAAAATTAATGTACAAATTTGGCGCGGGGACGATAGGTCCTCGACAATGATAGATAACAGACAGAGTAAAAGCAACGCGTGTGCAAAAAAAAAGAAGATAAATGGAAGTAGTTGACATATACGTAGTTGAATGTTTGCGACAGTTTCCATAGTTATTTACTTATCTACTTAAGTATATGTCGTCCTATTGCTGCCAAAAGTCACTAACATTTTTCCGAACAACCAAATTCAATCACTATGTTTTAAAGCGGAGAATCGATTACAAAAGTCCTTAACTACGATTTCTGGCTATTTATGTTTTATTTTAATACTGAATAGTTACTAACTATAACATCTTTATGCAATGCAATTCATCTTTAGACGCATTTTTCTCGGAAGTAATAAAAAGTAAGTTAGTGACTTTTGGCAGCAATGGGACGATATGATCTAGGGATTTACCTGGAAAAAACTGGCATATGCGCCTAAAATTAGAAATTGAAAGACAATTCGAAATGAACAAAGGACTAACAGGCTACATAAATTTAATAAAAACGGAACTCATACAATTAATAACTTCAGTACGTACTTAAAATTTTCTAAACAATATGAACTGATCTCTGACATACCCTGAAAGGCATATTTGACAAATAACGATGACGTAGCATTGAAAAATCGTTACAGTAAGGGTGTTATCGTGTCGTTTAAATATAAGCAACAATATTACTAATCTACAGTTATAATTACCTGAGATACATGTTCCTCTCCGTAAAATTGCACGCCTGAAAATGAAAGTGGTGATTGTTGAGCCCCATCAGCTTCGGCAACAGCATACACTCCACCCTCCTTTCCAAATCGTCGAAATGGTTGCCGTACATAAAGATCCCCTTCTTGGAGGCGTGCCCGTGCATGTCCAGGTACAGGAACAGTCCGGACTCGTTCCGATTCACGTCCCCCGCCACGTTCTCGAACTTGATCTCGGCCTTGCTCTCCGACGGGATCAGCTTGCAGCCGCACTGCCTGCAGAAGTTGTGCCCTGCGGAATGACGAGACGCTAGATTAAAAGTGGGTACGAGTGTGGAGATGCCCGGCATCGTTTTTTCCAGCTGCACGATGCTGGCCTTACACTTGGTGCACCAGGTGCTCGCCGGAGGAGGGTTGGGCGCGGCTCCGCCGGGATCCTCGCCTTCGCTCAGCGACATGGTGGAGAGGCGGTTCACGTTGTCGTTTTCGCCGGCGGGGGCGATGGGCGGCTGCTTCTGGCAGTTGTCGCATTTGATGATCTTGTCCTCTTTCTCCGCGCCGAAGTGGTAATACCTGAAAAATACATCCGGTACAGACGTAGAGAAGCGTTTGATTCACAGTATTAACTAATAATTTTATCAAATAACCCATGTAAAGTCTATACAACAAGAGAACGGAACCATTTCGACAAACAACATGCAGAATTAGTAGACTTCAAATTATATAGGGTGTTTCAAAAAACATGTGCCATCTCTGGTGGGGAGATTCCTCACGTAAAAATAAGATTTATTTTTCATAAACATAGGTCCAATTCTGCTTTGTTTCGTAGCTTCGATGTTTGGTGTTTTAAGCTTGACTTTCATGCATCCGTTGTCCGACGATACGGTGTTAATTTTATTGGTTGAATTTAAAGACTTCGATTGGTTAGAAAATTACGCAGTTTTTAAATTTATTGCATTTTCATGCCTCCGTTCATCGGCCATACGATTTGCTTGTGATTGGTGTCATTTTATATTTTCATTTCCATAACGATTTCGCTGTTTTACTTATAGTCTAAGAGCTAGCAACGTTTTCGAGAGAGAATTTTAAGAAAGCTGGTTTTTTAATATATCTTTTGCTATGCTCTCCTGAACAGACTGCGGACCGTCTGGCTGCCGGTAGACGTTGCGTTTACTACGGCGCATCGTATCTGTATTCAACTGTTCACTACTCCGCATCACAAATTCGCCATGTATTTCAGGAACTAAGGAGGCTAGGACAAGCCTATGTGTAGCATATTTAGTTTCATAAAAGAGTAGCAAAGTAATGTGAAAATCGCATCATTTTATCTCTACTCATGAACGAGAAATCCCATAAAACATACAAAAATGGGATAGGTAGTCTGTACAGATGTGATGCGCTGTAGTGAACCGCAGTAGTCTACCGGAAGCCAGACGGCCCGCATTTTGGTCAGGAGAGCACAAGAAAGTATAGTAAAAGATATATTTGACCAGCTTTCTTAAAATTCTCGATTCCCGACGGTGCTAGCTCTTGTATTTTTATACTTTTATTAAGGTTAGATTAAATTTGTCAAAAAAGTGTCAAAACGTCCGTTATCGTACGATCTTTCTCCGTTGACGTGCTGGAGTAAAAAATTTACAGATGAAAAGTGTCGTGTAGTGAAAACGCTATGACCAATCAGAGCATGAAAATCAAGCTTTATTGTTTAACAATAAACTTAATAAACAGAATTTTAAATAAAAGTTCTTCTGCTCCTTCCCATTATTCAAGATTTAGACATCAAAAATAAATTTACAGCTTTGAAATAAACCCAAAACTTACCTAATTAAAGCTCTAGCAGCATAAATCGAAGGATGCTCATCGAAATCAGGATTCAAATAGATCCTATTCAAGTTCACTCCTTTCGTATCAGTTCTATAGTGTCCCCTAGCCACCCCGTCCGGGTTAAGAAAGGGAATAAGTTTGAACACATACAATTTTCTCAAATACTGAGCCTGAAGATCGTCCCGATTTAACAGCATATTCAAGAAACCATTAAAGACAAAGGAAGATGGAGTTTCACCAGGATGTACCCTTGCCGACATGAATATAACCTTTATTGAAAAAAATACATATGAAATTTTTTTTATTCAAATTTTAAGATCGGTAAGTATGTAACCTTTTTACCAACAAACTTATGGGGCCTTGGAACAGTTTTATCCATAAACAAATTCTTCAATCTCTCCTCTCTTTCCATTGTTATTCCATGATATGAGGTTATGGTTATTAAGTCAATATTCCTACCTTCTAAAGATTCACAAACCGTTTCATGCACATAATAAATATCGTCCTCACATGTTGGTTGTATGGTAAAATATTTACTATCAATATTTACAAGCATTTTTTGGAGATCAGTATATGAGAATGGATATGTAAAAGCAAAGTATGTACAACTGTCTGCATTCTCTGGAGTACGGAATTTAAAAGATAACGTAAAAATATCTTCAACTAACTAAAAAATGTATATACATTTGAAGAATGAATTAAAAATGATGCTTAATATACAACTTACATTATATACAGGCTTATCTTGGATTCTTTCCCATTTAGGTTTACCTGGCAACACTCTGAATACTGGGGCCATGCCTTGACTATACATTTTTCCCTGTCTATTTAAGTCTACTAAGTTAAGTCGAACCAATAGACCAGGTCTAGGAGCTAAAAGTCCATATATAATATAAAGAAAGCCTAAACACACATCATACCTTTAATAGAAAAATAAAACCATGTTCTGTTCCCATTTTCGAATTCAGTCCCGTAACAATCGGGTTTGGTCCATATATTAAATTCTGCATCTACTAATTCTATTGTCAGTAACTTATTGTTTGAGCTTTGTTTACAAACGGCTTAAATAATAAAATAAATGAGTCATTTAGAGTATCTCTCAGATTCATCCTTACCAGATTCATTTTGTGGAACGAGTTCAACTTTTGACAGATTAGCTGAATCAAAGTCATTATAGAACACAAATTGGGAGCAATGGATACCGTCCATAACTTGATTAAAATATATTATTGCACATACTCAATAGGAGATATCGCCTAAAAATTCATAAATATTCTTTGTTCCAGCGAAATTACACAGCCATATTAACATGACAATAAATTGATTTGACCTAGAAAACATTTTCCAGGCAAAAGGGGCACAAAGCAGCCCTCGCGTAGGTAAATCAAACAGAAAATTACATGATATTGCTGGAATCAAATTAAATTTAAAAATATATAGATTTCATTAGGCTTTATCAATGTAAACAAAAAATTGACACCATATCAGCTGTTTTTATATACAGTTTTGGAATTGATATAATTATCCTAATTAACAATTGCATGACATGCATCTTAAATTAAACGTATCACATAATAATCAAAATTAGGAACAAACCTTGTTTTTAAATTGACAAAAACTTCTTTACAAAACACAAAAAAATACTTTCATCTTGTCATCGCGATTGCGTCAGTGTTTGTCAGGCACGGCCATTTTGATTCTAATTTATTTTTAATCAAATTTCTAAAATATTGGCAGGAAAACTACATTCTAAATTTGTGTCATATGTAATTATTTTTTTAAGAGAAAAATTATTTCACAAAATAAAACTTGTATGATTAGGTTACGTTTTAAATTTTAATATAGAATACTGTAATATTGACACTTAGCTAATTAACTATAGAGGGCATTTTAGCATATTGTTTATTATTGTTTATTTAGTTGCATAAATATTAAAAAACTTCAAATTTGAAAGATAAGCCAAAACGCGCAAAATTACAAATATATTTTAATAATACTATATTCAAATGATTCAAAGTACGGTATACAATTATAAATCTTTTATAGTTATAAATGACCAACATTTTTCTCTTTTAGGTACTTTGGTAGCTGTAAGTCAGCCTTTCGCAAGTGTAATATCTCAAATAATTTATGTTCTAGCACAGGGAATTCTCTATATTTTTGGTTTTCTATCTCCGATATTTGTGATACTGAGTTATTTTATGCTTTTATGGATACAGCTGGTGTTATTCCCTATACAGTTAGCTATATACTTACTGTTAAGTCCTCTGAGAATGATTATTTTTATGATAAAAACAGCAGCGGTGTTTTATGTTATACTTTTTTCTCCGGAAAGCGTGTATGATTTACTTAACTCCTTGTACATTAACACTATAAGAAGGCATACTACATTAAATAGACTAGATTTTTAAACCTGTAGTATTATTATTAACAGGGCGGATCCAGGATTGTGAAAGGGGGAGAGGGGAGGGGGGGCTAGAAACAAAATTTAACTCAAAGTACATACTCCAGAGTCGTTTGTGACAAGGAATTAATAATATCGTATTACTTCGCCGAACCCAAACAATTCGATTTAATGAGTTTCGATGTGTATATGGTTTGATCAAGGGTTTGATTTAATGATGCCATTCTGCCGAAACTGTGATACTGTTGTAATGGGGTTTCAAATTTTGCTATTAGCCAATTAATGTACCTATTCTCTGCTATTAGCTAATAGTAAATTTAAGTATACAGGGTCGGTCATAAAGTTGTGTCACATCAAACTTTATTTTTTAAAATGAAACCCCGTGTATATTATTGCATATTTCAATTATTCCTTCAATTTTAAGCAATAATCATAATACAGAATGTACATAAATTGAAGAATTGAAATGTTAAACGAAGATTTTGTAATTTCCAGACTTGATATAATCTCATTTTATACATCTATAAATGCTAACTTGAGAACTAATGTCAAATATTATTAAGTATCACAGTTAATGGCATCGTTAAATGAAACTGAACGTATCGTAATTAATTAAATCAAATTGTTTAATAATATTTTCAAAAGTCAATAACTCGGAAATGGTTGATTTGAGGTACATTGTGTGTATTTCGATTTCTGCTTAGAATTGTAGGAAGAACCGAAATTCAATAATATAAAGGGGGTTCTATTTAAAAAAAAAATTAAACTTTGATGTGCCACGACCCTGTATATTTTAATTTATTACCGCTAATAGATATTTATAAACTCTATAACTTTTCTATTTAACTTTTTACCACTAATATGTATCTCCTATATTTTACCTAATAATCGACCGGTTCCATACATAACAGCGACCCTGTATATACGGTATTATCAGTGGTGGTGAATCCTAGATTTAAGTTTGATTTTCATGCATCCGTTGTCCGACGATACGATGATACGATATTAATTTTATTGGTTGATTGAATGAAAAAATCAACCAATAAAATTAATATCGTACCATCGTATCGTCGGATAACGGATGCATGAAAATCAAGCTTTACTCTTATGAACCCGAAAATAACTTAAAACAATCAAAACCGACGAAAGTTATCCGTTCTTGAAGTGTTTCCAAAAAGATGGAGACGACTTTTTCTCAACAGTGGGTAATGTCCCATATAACACAACACAATCCTATAGATATCTTGAGGATATCCACCATATAGTAAATATCTTAGGGATATCCAAAAACTAGAGGAGGATATTTATGAGATATCCATATGGGACAAAAAAAGTCATCTTCAAGACATCCCTAGGCAAACCTTTTACGATTATTTAGGATATTCATAGGATAATACAAGGATGATGTTGGGAGTATTATAAAATATTTTTAGGACATTATATGAGGACTGTTATTTGACAATACTTACTTCATCCTTAGTTTATAGTAAAAACGTTCGCGATTTACTTTTATTTAGCCACATTTTGACGTTATTCATTGGATATTTTTATTAACAGCTCTAAAATATACCTACTCATTGTATGTCAATATATATAATATGTCAATGAATTTTGCGTCAAAATTTAGAAGTTTATTTGTATGAGTTAAGAGCTTTCAATTTATACTGTACCATCGAAAAAAAATGACGTTCAGTTGGCTTGAAAATTACGATCGATGACATTCCCCACTGTCCCCATATAATTTTACATACAAAATAACAGCAATCTTCATTTCCAAGCCACCTCTGACGCCGTTTTTTTTCGATCGTATGGTATTATACCAGATTATACTACCCTGTATGGAGTCTAGCAGCAACAGTTTACATCAAAGTTAGCACACAGGGGATACAGGTATAATTTCTAACATCACACCTTCCAGAAACTCACAATTTAAACACAAAAATGGGATTTCTGTTCGAATAGATCAAACACGAAAATGGGTTCAGGGATAAAGAACAAGCGCTTTTCAACAAATTTTTACCTATAATTTTGTCACAAATTTTTCATTGTGAGACCCTGAGTCGTTCGTCGTTTTTCGACATTAGTTGAGGTTAGAATAGAATTTCTGCTAGAAAAAGGCTAGAACTATGAGTATACGAAAAAACTAAGTTAAACTCAACCAGTTTTCTTAGTTTCAGTCATTTTTAAGCTCATTCTACATCGACAAACGACCGAATTCACCTCGAATTTCATTAAATCAAAGAACTGAATACACGATGCAAAAACTAACAACTGTCGAGATGGATTGGGGGAAATTTTTTGAGCGGGCGTTTTAAATTTTCGGGAATGGCCAAGCTCATAAATATCCAGATTATCCAGAAGATACCAATAAGTTGCCTTGACGTAATATATATCTATCTGTATGGTTTATTGCATTTTATGTAATATAAAAAGTAGTAAATTATTTATTTTTTCTAAATATCTAGACCATATTATTAGGATATTTTATTATCATGAGCATGTTTGCATATCTCAGCTGGATGTACATTAGATATACGACAGAGATATCCATAGGATATTCTATTCTGAGACATCTACAGGATTTCAGGATGTCTAGAGGATATCCTATAGATATCTTTATAGGATGATCCTGTAGTGGGACATTCCGACATTCTATGGATATCCTGCGCATATTGTGTGTTATATGGGGTAGCAACAATTCCTCTACAAGATCAAAGAACTGTTATTACTGTTTACCGAAAGTAATTGCTGAGTTTCGAAAAACCAACCCTCAACGAGGAATAATCCTCCACCAAGACAATGCAAGCTTTTACATAGCTCGAAAAACAATTGTACTGGGGTTTTAAAACAAGAAGACATCGAATGGTTTGACCATCCTCCATACAGTCCCGACCTAAGACCTAACGACTTTTATACTTTTCCAAAAATTACTAGTGAACTGCGTTGTCAAAGGTTCCAGTCCCCAAAAGAAGCAGTTAACGCATTCAAAAACGTAATTTTGAAGTACCAATAATCGAGTGGAAAAACTGCTTTTAGTAATGGATTTAACGGATGCAAAAATGCATTTCTCTTCGTGGAGAATACTTGGAAAACCAATAGTGTTTAAAGGTTACCTACAGTTTTTTTTTCTTCTTACTTCAATACAGGGTCCGGCAATAGTGCGTGCATGGGCCATCTGTAGCTCTAGAATAAAAAAATTGAGAATTTTGTTAAAGTATGTACTAGGATGTATTTCAGGAAAATATTTTAACTTCTATATGGTGGCTCAAAAACGTGTGAGTGAAAAAAGGGAACACCCTGTATATTATATCATTTTAAACTTCGTTTCAGATCACTTTTCATAATCCTAAAATATGAGTAACTATATTTCGATAGCTTGAGAGATATTAATAAATAAATAAAAAAAATATATTTTTTAACCTTTCTTAACAAAAATTATTAAAAATATAAGAACTGTCCTGAAATCAAAACTATGTTATGTATTTACTTTAGATGGTCTGTACTTACTTTTCTATAAATAATATGGTAATCGTAAATCATGCAGGATGTTCAAATTTCTATGCCAAACTTTAAAAAACGTCAAACTCTAAAATATAAAATAATTGTACACAACACCCTGTATATTATTTTTTCAATAGATGGAGAATTAAAAAAATGAAAATTTTTCGGATTTCAAAATTTTTAACGGTTTTGCAGATATTTGCGGTTTTATACATATATTTCATATGGCATTTTCTATAGTAATTTTTTTTTTTCAAAGGCACCCCATGATTTTTCTCTCGTATTTTACTGTTGAAAGAGCCATATGAAATAATACTGCAAGTATCTGCGAAACTATTAAAAATTTTGAGAAACTTTAAATACAAAAAATGTTCATTTTTTAAATCTCCATCTAATAAAAAAATAATATACAGGGTGTTCCATTTAAGAAAAAACAAAGAAAAATTATTTTATATTTTAGAAAGTTTGGCGTAGAATTTTGATACCTTGTATGATTTAAGGTTACGAAATTTATAGCAAAGTAAGTATAGAAGTATAGACCATCTAAAGCAAATACCTAATACAGTTTTCATTTTAGGACAGTTCTTGTATTTGTAATAATTTTTTCAAGGAAAGTTGAAAAATATACAGGGTGTTTCAAAACAAATGCGAAAAACTTCAGGAGGTGATTCCTTGTTCAAAATAAAGGGTAGTTTGTTTTATAAACGTTGGGTCAAAAGTCAACCATTAGGGAGATATCGCGGTACAAAGATGGCGGAAAAATAATGTTTTAATTTTTTATCTTGAAAACGAAAAGCGATAGACTAATAAAATTTTATGGAAGCATTACTGTTATGAAAACACACTTTCTG